CTCCACCTATACAGACTTACCTCAGTTTTACCTGTCCTCATTAGTGCTTATGTGTTATGTCTTTCAAAGCACATAAGTAAAGAACATAAGTAACATAAATAGCATCCTTCTCCAATGTCCTCTTTTTTAACCCCAAGATGATGCTTTCAAGATTTCTCCATTCTTGGTGCATGCTGCTCTAATTCATATGCTATATGAATATACTGCAATTTATTATTCATTTCACATTGACATCAAAGTAGGTCGTTTTGGGTGTTGTTGTTTTTTTGTGTGTTATAAATAGTGCTCTAGTGAAGAATCTTTTATTTATCTTCAGGAGCTGTAGTTTAGAGAATGTGACTTAGAATGGTATTTCTGGGTCATAGGTATCTGCATTCTAATTTATTAGACACCTGCATTTTAATTTATTAGACATTAACAAATTGTCCTCCAAAGTATCCTTACAATTGTCACACCATCCTGCAGTGTAGGAATATTTGTTTCTCCTCATCTCAATGACATGAAAGGGTATCTATCTAAGTTGAATTTGCATTTCCCTGATGTAAGTAGCTTTTTGATTTAAACAGAACATAAGATTATTAAAAGCACCTGAGATTGCCAAGATGCTGGGAATCAAGTTCAAAGTTGTGCAGACAGAAATGTGCAGATCCTGCTGAGGACTGTTGGGGAAACCACACTGTCCCATGGCTGAGTCCAGATATCGAGCATCTGCTTGGCACCACTTATAGCAGCCCTGGACACTGGTGGGGGCCCCACCGCCTGCCACTAGATGTAGGCACTACAGCTGCTGTGGTTTCCACCATCATGGAGGCCACACTACTCAAGACCCTGGTTTCCAGTGAGTGGTGTGGATGGGGGCTGAGTGTCATCTTCTGTTGTGGGAGGAGGCTTTCTCTCAGAGGAGAGCAATTCCTCAATCTAGTAGAAGCTTCAAAATACAGTGCTGAATGAGTATAAAACTGAAAATAAAACTGAATAAGAACTATACAAAGAAAGATTCAGATACTGAATAACTAAAAGAAAGTCACAAAGGCTCACAAGTATAATTAATAGGTAGGCTGGACATCTTCATATGTTTATGACCACTTAGATTTCTTTTTCCTTAACCATATTCCTTGCTTCTTTGGGGTAGTCCATCTGAATGTGTAAGTTCTTTGTAAATTCTGAATTGTTATCTTTAAAACCATTATATATGTTAAAGTGTATCTTCTAGTATTTGGCTTTTTTTTTTTTTTAAATCAAGGTTTCTTTCTTATACAATTCTGGCATGCTGGTACATATTATTTCTTTAATACTTGTTTTCTCTATGCTTCCCTGGCTTGAGACTAACTAGATGAGTTATTTGGATCAACTCCACCACTGAAAACAGCTAACATATGGAAAAAAGTAGAAAAACTATATTATTAAATTATGAATGACCATATTTAAAGAATTACCAGTCTAAATTCTAAGGGTAAAAAGAGGACTAAGCATTGGTTCATCAGCTTGAACTTGAGCTTCAGCCACTGGCCTCATGATATATGGGAGAAATAAAGACCAGGGTCTGTGCAGAGTTGGGAGTACTATAGAAATCCATTGTCCATTAACATTAGAACCCCAAAAACTGTATATATAAATGTAGAGATATAGGTACAAATCATTACTCTGATTCAAATTTCCTCAGTTTTCCTGCCTTCTTTTGCTTCTTCCCTATTTTCAAAATAATTTTGAAGTTTAAGCATTAGATATCATGTTTGCTCTGTGGGTTGACCATATTTCCTGACTAACAATATGCAGCGAATATTGCTAGCTCATGTTAAAAAAAATGCCAACTTAAATAAAATACCAATGAGGAATATGTAAAGAAAACATAACTTAATATATCCAATGAGAAAATGGCCTCATTACTGCTGCTGTTCATGTCAAGCTTTTGGGGAAGACATGAATCTCAGCAAAAAAAAAACTAGTGACTAAAAAAAAAATAAAACCACTAGTGACTAATTCTGACATAAATGTATCTAACATAGTAGGTAATTTTTTTAAAAAGATTTATTTTTTATGCATACAGAAACGGGGTATAGACCAGAGGTGCAGAGGGTAAGAGGATTCACCAGAGACAGAGTGGGGAGAAGAACAGGCAGGAGCACTGAAATACACTGCTGAGGGGAGCAGCAGGTGGGTCAGGAGAGGCCTGCTGCACCATATGGGTCACCTCCCTGGCCGGGAATCAAACTGATGCTGCAGCGGCTGTGATAGCTTTATAGTGCTGTGTTTTAATCTGTTGCATCACCAGAGAGGGCCCAATAGGTAATTTTCACATAAAATTCTAATGGCTGATGACTTTTGATCATATTTAGTGCATAACTGGGCCAATTGTCCTAAGAAAGAGATGACAAACAGCTAAGGTTTGTAATGTTATCTCTGTGGCTGTCTCATTTCTTTGTTTTGGAGTTAGGTAAGATTTACTAAAATCAAAGGTATACTGAATATTCAACTGCCAAAACCCAGTAAGTTAACATTCAGTGGGGAATGCAAGAGAAATTTATAATAAAAACTCTGTTGAAGTGTGGTAACATATTTCAGTGCACGTTTCCTAAGAACTTTCTACTGATTAAATATATACCTGGCAACTGGAAGGACTGGATTCTTCTGGAGGCTTTCAGAGTTGGTCACATCAAAATGAAGGATGAGTTCACTTTCCTTCCTAAACTCCAAGTTTCCAAACCTCACATTGGCTTATTCTATGTATGAGATTCTGTGTATTCTTCTCCTCCATCAATTCAATCAGGGTAGGGACCTTGTCTGGTATTCCTCATCCTCCACTCCCACCAGCCACACAAAATTCAGAATCTATGAGAACTTCACAGGAAACAGAACAAACTTTAGAGCAGTGATCTTCCACCTGGACTACACTTTGGAATTGCCTGGGAGCTTTGTAAAAATCCTCAGCCCAGGCCACACACTTAGACCATGAAAAGCAGAAGTCTGGGTGTTCTGGTAGAGTGTATGTGAGCACTCTTTGGGTGATTAGTTTGGAACCACTGTGCGTTCATATGCCAGAGGTATAAAAGTAAAATATTAAATTTAATGTACTATTCTTGAATAATGTCTACTTTTATGCTTGTATAATGCTTTACAGTTTTCCAAGTGCAAGGAATTTCTTAACATTTAATAAAGATCTTATAATCTAGTGGACAATGTGCAAGTGTTGTGTGTATGTGTATTGTGTGATGAGCATGTGTGGTGTGCAAGAGCACGTGTGTATGTTGTGGAGAGGACAGAGACATGGAGTCAGGAAAAGTGCTGAGTGCTGATGGCAAAAGCAGCTGGAAGGAAGTCCAGGGAGGAGGAAGAAAGTAGAATCAGAAGGGGTAGGTGTGTGGTATAGGGTCCCACTGACTTAGGACAGCTATTGTGTCCATTTGCAGAAGGGGGCAGTACTTCTCACGTTACAGTGGGAGAGTATCAGTGGTTGTGCCAGTGCTCATAGATATGCTGGTGCACAGGAACTGTGTCCTCAGTGTGGTGACCTCTAGTCCAGGTGGGGAGAACTAACTAGTTGGGGAGTCCAGGCCCTTCCTAGGGTCTGACAGGAAGTCTGGGCTCTAGACTGCTAACAAATCAGCCCCCAACCCCTAAACATACATGCAAGTGAGAGGCATCAGCACTAGGAGGATAGTACTTTGGGAACAAAGCTCAGCCACAGGGCTGGAGACATGGAACCCTATTTGTCTCTCCAGCTTCTGCTTCTGGCTTCCGTTCCACGCTTTTAGTTCCAGAAAGACCTCAGCATTTGCAGCTGTTTTATACTTCAGATTTTTTGTTCCTGTTCCTTCCTCTTCCAGTTTAACTCCTCACTAACTGCCTTAGTACACTTCCCAGGGGGGAAGACCCACTCTCCTCTGCGGTCCTCCACCGCAGTCAGGACTCTCCACTTTGACACTTGTTTTTCCCTTGGAGGAAGGTAACCAATGTCTCGCCTCTCTGTATTCTCAGTACACACCGAGAGTGCCTGACCTCCAGTGAGCGAATAAATGACAGGGAGTGTACGTTAATGAATGAGAGAACCGTAAAGCGAATGAATGAAGAACGCACGGAGGATGAGTGAGTCAGGAGGTGAATGAACGAAGGAGAGGGAGCTAAGAGGCCGAATGAATGAATGAAGCACATACTTCTTTAGATGTTGCGTAAGCGAATGAACGGAGTGAGGGAATGAAAGAATGAAGGAGAGTGAGAGCCTGTGAATGAACGAGAGGGTGAATGATTAGAAGAGAATGTAGGATAAGAGAAAGAGCGGGTGGATGAGTAAAGAGGGCGGAACCCGGCGCGCCTGGGCGGGTAGACCCGGGCGGGAGCCGGGATCAGGCCAACGCGTGCTGAACGCGTGAACCAGGGATGAATGAGCCGCTGACCATGGAGGCACCGTGCAAACGAACCAGAGCGCTGGGTTGGCAGCGGGTGGCTGGGGGCAGTGCAGAGCCGCGGGAGAGAACCCGTGCACCCGCTTACGCTCGCCTGGGCGTGGCGAGACTGGGCCTGGGCGTGGCGACGTTGGATATGGGCGTGGCGAGACCTGGCCTGGGCGTGGCGGAGCGGGGCGAGGCCGAGGTGAGGCGAGGTTGGGTATATGGACGTGGAGAGACCGGGCCTGGGCGTGGCGGAG